TATTTTAGGAAGATTTTCCGCGATATTTTCATGATGTGGCAAGTAAAGTTTTAAATCATCATAATCTCCGTATCGGGAGACTTGGCGGGTTGGGATGGAGCATTATGCACTCAAAGCGATGTGTTTTGGAAGTTAAGAGGATGTTTCAGGATATCTTGATTGCACATCTTCAAGATATCCTGAAAACATCCTCAAGATGTGCGCATCATCTTCGAGATATCTCGGGGAGGTCTCTTTTTAGTTATGTGAGTTTTGTATGCAAGACATATTCGTTTTTAAATTGAAAATAAACTTCACATGTGCATGATGTATGGTACGCAACGTTAATATTCTGAATATGGCGACAAAATAAGCCGCCAAAACCATTGTCAGCTTGGCGAGATATCGCCAAATTACCGAGATACCCGTTTACTCAATGTCAAATGCACTTGCCCCTGTATTCTTACTTTCCCAGCGTAGCTTCTGTTCAGATTTTTCAAGTTAAAAGAATGCTTTAAAATGAATTCTGAAGAGAATTTTTCGTGGCGTCTGTACGAACGTATGTCCGTACGTACTACCTACGTGCGTGCGTACGTACGTATCTCGCATAACTCAAAAACGAGTAGCCTCAGAACGTTGAAATTTTGACATGCTATAACATGTAGATGTGCACCTCGTATTTTGGTTGGCAAGCGGCCGCACCAATGTATATAATATATTTATATATATATCCACTCTGTTACCCGCTCAGTGATCTCAGTTTCTTTACTCTTATGTGTTTTGTAAATTGTACATTTTTTGCTTTAAAATGACTGAATTATGTTGTTTTTATCTTCCGGTTAAGGATTTTATGCTTTAGTAAATGTGTGTGCATATTTTTAGAATTATCAGCAATTTTAAAGTTGTTTTGATTGCCGCTAATTCTGTTTTAATGGCGGCCTTGTGTTTACTTTGAAACAGGAGACTAGTGGATTTGTTGCCAATCTAGAGAAAACTTAGCTTCTTCCCACAACAAAGATAACGATTCATTTATTATTGCCAATTAAATCATGCTTAATTTTTCTGGAATTTTTTCGAGGAATAAGTTTTGAGATTTACTTTATAATTTTTTAATATAGATTTTGAGTTTTTTATGTATTTTTGCTTTTCACGGAGTGAAACTGAATTAATTAAATGAGAAATACTCATCGTCTGTGAAAACTGTTTCTTTTTGTTTTGTTGCTTATTTTTTTTATACAGCATTCTAGCTTATTATAGTATTGAATAGAACACGTGGCAACGATTAGATAATTCTATTCTTTATGATATAAATTTTGTGCATTATGAGTTATAATATAACAATAGATACGTAGCTGTTAATAATATTGGATTATAACAGTTAACTTTATCCGTTATATAATTATTAATACTGTTAGCGAAGTAGCGCCAGAGGTCGCTATGGAAAAAAATACTAGAGTGAATTTTTAAGAATGCATTTATTCTATTGTGTTTTATTTGGCGTCGCGAAGTAGATTTAATTCAATCCAATAATTTAAATGAAATGCAAGAAAAAATGCGTATAATTTAATATTCCAATACAAGGAAGTCATGTGGTGTACACATCAGATTTTATTTCTATTGTGATTCCAATTAGCATTACTATCTTTATACGGCTTTTGATTCTACACCTGGGATAAGATATGGCACTTTGGAAACTCAGTTTTGAGGTGTCCGCCGAAAACATCGCGGACGAAAATGTCTCGGAGAAAACAACACAAGGCGAAGACGTCGTCATATAAAATATCGTGGCAGAAAGGAAAGCAAGAAGAAAACATTATAGTTTTAAATCATCGTAGTATAAAACATAGAAAAAAACAGCGATTAAAAATATCGCAATTTTAAAACATCGCAGCAAAAAGGATCATGGTCGAAAATAAAACACCTATACATAATGACATGGCGACGATATCTATGTCTTTTTCAGACTTTTAAAGTAGTACATTTGCATATTGATTTAGGAGCGCATGAAGAAATAAGAAATATTTTCCTCTATATTTCTTATTTTTGGATTAATTAACAATTTTTTTCCCTAACAGTTAATATATTTTTTTCTAGCACTTAACAGCATTTTAAATTTATGTACGTAACTATTAAAGGATATTACTTAATTAATCTCTTTTGCTTTAGTCTAAAAAAAATTAGAAAAGGGAAGATGAGCAACTGCAGAAGGTTACCTATATTCAAATTGTTTAATTAATTATCAAATTGTAAACTTATTTTCTTTCACTATATTAATTTGAAATTTAGTAAAAATTTAATTTTGTTTTGTTTCGACAATTTAGTATTTTTAATTTAGGTAACCCTGTAGAGTCATTAGGTTATTTCGAAGCAGGAGAGATGAAAAATGAGCAACGCCTTCACCGGGAATCGAACCCACGGACCTCTGGAATACGCGCCCAGCGTGCTGCTTACTACACTACGAAGGCATGCTAAGAAGGCGGGAGGAATACTTTATATACTCCCCCTTTTAAAGGCCGACTGGGGTTTTTAGGGGACCCAATTGCCAAATCCTGGGTATGGAGAATCATCATTCATCACCCTTTTAGTTCGGGCGCCACTGTAGAGACATTAGGCACAATTTTTTGGAAGCAGAAGAAGTGAAAAATGAACAATGCCCTCGCAGGGAATCGAGCCACGGACCTCTGGAATACGCGCCGAGCGTACTGACCACTACACTACGAAGGCCTGCTAAGAAGGCGGGAGAAATACCTTATAACTCATGCAATTACTCAATTTCCCTTTTCTAATTTTCTCAGATTATATTTTTCATGAAAAACTGCCAGTGCAACTTCAAAGAAATTAATCAAATAATGGGATTTAATAGTCGAATAATGGAATAATACATAAATTTAAAATTCTGTTAGCTGCTATACGTAGGATTAATTTTCTACTCATTTTCAGTGTTTGAGTGCTTAAGTTTCTTTCTTGCTTTTTTTTAGGAAAAAAGTATTAATTAATACGAAAATATAAGATAAAGCGATAAAAATATTCCTCATTTCTTCTTGAGCTCACGAATTATTAAGGGAATATACATTTACAGCTTTTAATGCCTGAAAAACACGTGACTGCGATGTTATCGTCATGCCATGATTTCTAGGTGTATTATTTTTTACCACGATATTTTTAAGATGATGTTTTTTGAATCACTTTATTTCCGTAAACTATGTTTTCTGCCATGATTTATTTAACTGTCATGTTTTTCCTTGCTTTCTTTTCTCCAACGATGTTTTTTGTACGATGTTTTCGCCTTGCTTTGTTTTATCCTTGACATTTTCTTCCGCTCTGTTTTTTCCACTATGTTTTCACCTGTAACCAGTTTTGATAGTGAGTGGCCTATTCTCTTCATTTCTTACGCCTGCCTGCCTTATGTATAATTCCCATTCACGGCAACACTCTGCTATTCCAGTATGAAAGGAAAACTAATTCATTTGACTTATTATATATGCGATAAACTTTCTCTAAGACAATCACTTACAGTTCTGGTGAGTTTTCTTTTCTCCAGAAGTGTAATATAACAGAAATGAAACTTACTACTGATGTTTATTTATGCTCTTAAAAATATCTGTACCTTTCAAAATCCTTCACGGCAGGTGGTCCTCCGGAGAGTTAACTTTATTTAATATTAGGCAAAATGCTACCATGGATTAAGGCGTTAACAGAAAATCTCTGTATATACTTTGAGGGAGATTGCCCAAGATTTCTTTTCGACAAGAAGCAGAAATATTCAGCGACATTCTGCCAGAAGTACACGCCTGGAGTCAATAATTAGCTATAAATAAATAAAATAGCTATAAAGTCATCTAATGAACAATGTTAATAAACTATGAGAGAAAAATTTAAATAATCGAACTAAATTCAAAACTAATAACAGCAGTTTTGCTTGTCTGCGTGGGTGAATAATGAGAGAAATGAAAGAATTGTGTGATATTTCTAGAAAATGAAAGGATTTAAACTTAACGGACAAAAACTAGATTGGAATTAAAACAATTAAGTGATGTAAATCTATATTGCTATGAATGACGAAAGCTTCAACGAAGTCTGTTTCGTCAACTGAAGAAGCTTTTACGATAATTTTAAAACGTTTAAATTTAAAAGAATGTTTAAAAGATCAACAATTGTAAACAATGGAAGAATTTATAATTTTTAATTTAAACTTTAATAGCGTCAATGTTACTTACATTCAGTCAAAAAATAAATAAATAAATAAATAAATATTTTTGGTCGGTTGTGATACTTTTATATTAAATGTTAATAAGTTTAGTTATTGTTCAAATCTAAAACACGGCCTTCAAGGAATGAGAATAATTTTTATTAAAAGAAAGAAAATCTAGAATCCATGTTGTTTTGAAGTTAAAAGAAAGAAAAAATAAAACTGAAACCAAATCTTTATTTTTTCCCTTGAAGTTGAATTTTGCCTAGCTTTAAGAGTGGATGTACTTCTTTTCCATGTATCATTTACATCTATGTTTCTTTTTTACGCCATTATGTAGAAGACCTTTTAATTTATATAATGTATTCCAAACCACTTCGCAATGGATGATAAAAATCTGATAAATACTAACAAGTGCAATATCTGCATATCAAGAGTCCACAAACAATGCATAACATCCCAGATCCATCTACATTATGAAGAAAAGAAGAGAAAGTTAAAAGCAGTTGGCAAAATATCAAAAAAACAAACAAAATAAACCGAAACAGGATTAAAAAAAGCAACGGTCCATAACCGTGAGGGTCAACAAGGAAGCAAACTGACCAAACGATCTGCACGAATCTGCTGCCCGATGCATTTCGCGAACCCCATCTCTTGCTCTTCTGAACGGGTTTTCTATCCGTACAACTGATGGCACTCGGCTCGTAGAACAAAATGGGCAAACTTAAGCTCGGCAGGGGTGCATCAACCTGAAAGGAGAAGAAGAGGGTGAGGGTGAGGGAGAGGGGGGAGGGAAGACAAACGAGTAAAGAAGTCACCTGTTGCTCAGGAGCGGTCTTCAGTTCGTTGCACGCCGCCGTTTCGCAGAGAAGAGGATGACCAATCTCAACGGGTCCAGGCTTAAGGTTCTCGTCATGGGTGCCAGAGGCGTCGGAAAGTCAGGTCAGTTAGAAGCTTTTGACCTTCCCTAAGGGGTGTTAAAAGGTGGTGGGGTCTGATGATCGATAAAGAAATACAAAAATTCATCAGGGATATGTCTCTGAGAAAGCGGCGATCGACTTCCTTCATGCGAGCTCGGTGGTTTGTTTACAACTAAGACTTCTGGTCCACGTGCTTGCTCTCCGAAGCCGCTCCTTCCCAACTGTTCAGCCTTGAATTTCTGACCTTCGACGGGACAGCTTCTGTAAGAGCAATTTATCAAATTATTCAAAGAAGCGTTTTCATCAGTAAATTCAGTTGATCTGTGTGGTTTTTAATTTTTGGCAATTTTTTTTCGATAGGAATCGTTTATTGGCTTCTAATGTGGAATACACGTGTGGAATACTTTCAAATGGGAGAATTTTAAAGTGTATATATTCAAGGAAAATGTGAATTAGTTAAATTCTCTTTCATATATGAATACCCTCTCACATATTTTTGCAATATTTAGTGGGAGGCGGGGAATCGAGCGTCAGCGTCAGCATAAATTTAAATAAATGGCAAGTTTTTTTTTTTCAATTGTATTGATCCGAAGAAAAAGAGAAAAAAAATTATTAATTTTGTAGAATTCGATAGCAAAATAGTTGAAATTTATATTTTATTCAATATTATAAGTAGTCAGTGAACGCATAGTTAAAAGTTATAAATCCTTTTCCGTCCCTTTTTAAATTTATTGTTTGTTGATTGTATTTCCACAGCAATTTTCGACACTGGTGTTTATTAATTGTGCAGAAGTCGTAATATTTCTGTAAATGGTTCTTAATAATTTTGCAAAATCACATCATGCTAAGCCTTGCTTTAAAAAATAAATATGCTGAAAGGCGATACAAAAGTAAATGTTAAAAGTCAGTGTTAATGGGATTTGATATGGCTTTTCAAACTGCATGTGTGTTTGTCATGTATGTTCAGTCTTATATTCAAATGGGCTTTAGAGACATTTTAAAGAGCTAAAATAAATGCATGCTTAATTAAAAAATTATATCAGAGAAGTAATAAGAATAAAATAAATTTTTACTTTTTTAAACTAACTACATTGCTACATTTTTCAAATGCTCATGCCTTGTTGTAATGTATTAATATCTTGAATCTTATATATTATCTGCTGGAACACCTTTTAGATTTTCCGCTATAGGATACAACCACAAATAAATTTGTAAAAAAAAAGGGAGGGAATTCATGCTCCAACGTTGACACCATCAAATAAAAAATTGTTTTCATCTCTTAAAATTATGTGCTTTTTTTTTTCAGAGTAGATATCTATCTCTACATATAATAAAAGAAAGCGTCTATCTGGGTGTGTGTATCTTACGTTAGTGCTGTGCGTAAGCTAATAAACCCAGGGCTACGAAATTTGGCACGTAGGTGCATCTAGACAAGAGCCAGTGCACATTGAAGCGATTTTTTTTTTCAAAATTCAAATCAATTTTTTTAAAATTTTATCTTCTTTGATGAAATTGCATCATTTCGAATAGTTTCATTCTTTTAGAAATGTGGTTTTGGCAACAGTTATTCATTCCATGCTTTGTGTACTGGACAGCTGACTGTTGAAAATCAGCACTGTTGCCACTTGAAAAAATGAAGGCGATAATTCTGCGCAGTTTTTAAATTTAATGTTTCTCTCGGATACTAGACGTTTGTTGGTCTTTTTACTTCCTTGTACGAAGTAAAAAGGAAGTATTGTAATCATGAAAAGTTTCAGGCAACATATTTCAACGAAAATATCCATTTTGACCGCTATCGAATGCAATTTAACGATGCTTTTACGTGATATCTGTAAGTAAGGACAGAATAAAAGACTCTTTTCCTCTAAAAAAATTATAAAACTGCTTTAAAATTAATTCTGAAGAGAATTTTTCTTGGCGTCTGTACGAACGTATGTACGTACGTGCGTGCGTACGTATCTCGCATAACGCAAAAACGAGTAGCCTCAGAAAGTTGAAATTTTGTATATAGAACTGCTATAACATGTAGATGTGCACCTCGTATTTTGGTTGCAATCGGCCGCACCAAACGTATATAAATATATATTTATATATATACCCAGTCTGTTACCCGGCTCAGTGATCTCAGTTTCTTTACTCTTATATGTTTGTAAATTGTATATTTTTTGCTTTAAAAATGATTGAATTATGTTGTTTTTATCTTCCGGTTAAGGTTTTTATGCCTTTCGTAATTCTGGAAGCAATATTTGTACAATTATCAACAATTTAAAAGCTGTTTAAGTGCGGTTAAGTTTTAAATAACATGGGGATATATTTGTTTACATTTGAAACAGTAGAATTGTAGATTTGTTGCCAATCTAGAGAGACTAAGCTTCGCAACACACACACACACAAAAAAAAAAAAAAAAAAAAAAAAAAAAAAAAAACCTTCATTTATTATTGCGAATTAAATCATGCTTAATCCTTTCTGGAATTTTTTCGAGGAAATAAGTGTTTAAGATTTACTTCGTAATTTTTAATGCAGATATTTTGAGTTTTTATGTATTTTTGCCTTGTCGCGAAGTGAGAACTGAATTAGTTGAATGAGAAATAATAAATCGTCTGTGAAAAACTGTTTCTTTTCTGTTTTGTTTGCTGAAGTTCTTTCATACATCGTTTTAGCTTTATTATAGTATTTGAATAGAACATGTGGCGACGATAATTCTTCAAATGATATAAATTTTGTGCATTCAGAGTGTCGTTATAGTAAACAAATATAGTGAATTTTAAAGAGTGCATTTATTCTATTGTGGTTTATGCGCTGTCGACGAAGTAGATTTAATTCAATCCAATCAATTTAAATGAAATTCAAGAAAGCAATGCGTATAATTTAATATTGCGTACAAGGAAGTCATGTGGTGTATACACATCAGATTTATTTTTATTTTTTTTGTTTTGTTTTCGATAAAGTTGTTCTACACTGTAAAATTCTGGGCAGTTTTTAAATCTAATGTTTGGTGTTTCCTTTAGGCATTTTTCCAGTACATTTAAAAGCCACAACGCGGCTAGTTTTCAATAAAAGAAGTTTTCAGAGTGTGCTATTCACCTGTTTTGAAGGGAAGCGTTATTCAAATAACTAACCAAAGAGGCATTATATTTCTTAGATTTAGAAAATTTTACTGCGATCGTGTGGCAAAAGTATTTTTTAAGGTGTTATCGCTTTCTCCTACATGAGTTCTTATGATGTAAATGATAGAAAATCCAGCCAATAATTGTAAGATCCGTGTTTTCAATCCTGAATAGAACATAGATAACTTTTTATATTTTCTGGCTTCGAAAAACTATTAAATTATTGTTTATGTTTTGTTACTAGAAATATCAAATATTTGGCGTTTTCTTACAACAAGAAATTTTCTCTCTCTTTTTTTGTGTTTAAGTTACTTGACTGTGTTTCAAATATAGTATTAATTAACTGAATTTCAAACTTGTTTATTCATAAGAAAAGCTTAAGTCTTTATTTTTAGTTGAACGTATTAAGTTGATTAAAAAAATAAAGCAGTTTTTTACAGGATTGAAAAGACTTATATGATCCCCTGCCTATTATTTAAAATTGTGATAAAGATGATGCTGAAGAATAAGCAACTTTCAAATTATGCTAACTTTCGATGTTACTTTGTTTTTGCTGTTACAGGTTTTTATCATTAGCGTGGAGTTTAGTTGATTCGCTCCTGAGAGAGTTGCAATAAAATATGTATATGAGTATTATTTAGCTCTTTTGCTCTAGGGAGACCCTTGAAACATATTTCACGTTTCAGGCGTATTTAATAAAAATAACTCAGCTGTAGTACATTAATTTGTTCAGTAAATAGCAGCTATAGTTCAGGGTGATCACTAGTTTTTTTCAGTACAGAATAACTATAACTTCCTTATTAAAAAACGCTATAGCTATAGTTGAAGAAAGTGTTTCCTAAGAGTGTGTTCCACAGAAAAAGTGTTCCACAGAGAGTAGTCATTTATTCAAAAAGTTGCAGTTTTATTTCAGGAATATTCATTATTATTGTCTGCGGAATAACATTTTTAATGGACTTAGTAATTTGTAATTACAGTTCAAGAGCAATCAACCGTGTTCTCCAACTGTAGAGACTAATTTACTGTATACAATTTAATGTTACTTCTTAATCTTTGATGTTTCTTTGATTCCTTTTTTTTACACCAGAGCTTCAAATATCCGGACTAACTCAGACCACAATCCGGATATTAATAAAATCCATATAATTGTCTTTTTAAGTACGTTGAAGGGATATTTCTAATTTATTTTTATTTTCACGAAACTTACAAAGGGTATTTATACACTTTTTTAGAAGGATTTCGGGGCCGTTTAATTGATGTTTAAAATCTGAAGAGTATTTTCTAAATATTCGACCTAATTGTCTTTTTTTTCGGACTATAAGTCCGCATCCTGATTTTCACGAAAGAAGGGCTTTCACGAAAGAAAGTTTCCTGGGGTATTGATTTCCCTTGCTCTTCCACAAATTTTCGCGGTCCATCAATCATGATGGGTTGACGCTTAGAAAGAGATCTTTTCGAGAGATCATAGATACCATAATTTATAGGTTAAAAGTTAGGAGTCTTCGCAGGAATACATTGAAACGTTATGTATGCAATACCTGTATCAGTCTTCATTTCTTCAAGGAATGTAGTGGTACATTTCGAAGCATTGCATAGTCTTGAAGCTTCATTCTTTGAAAGTTACTGGGTTAAAAAAATGGAATTTCTTCTGTAAATATCGGATTTAAAACTTTGTCTTGATAATCCGGTAAGTTGATTTTAATATTTTTTCCCACTCTTTTTATTTTAAAGTTCCCATAACTTGTTCATAACTTGTTTACATGCGACGTTTTGAAAGAAGACATTTCAGAGTAGCAGACGGTATTTCTTATTTCAAATGAAAAACTGCTGAAAAATATTTTTATTCTAAAATATTCGCTTTTTTAATTCTTTACCGAAAGCGGTCTAAAAATGTGTAAACGCCCTCTGTATTTT